CATGTGATCACTTAATGTGTTCACCTGAAAGTCAGGGGATTTATAACCCCAGGGGAAGGATGATGGGTGTATAGAATTCACGGTCACTGAAAGATAATATTCAGGACAGCGTGCACATATAAATTGTTTTGCGGGTTCAGCACATAACCTGCGCCACATGTTTATGTCAAATCTATGTCAGCCAATTCGAAGTCTGAGTGAAGACGGGACAACAGACTTAGAAAGTCAACTATCATGACATAGCATTTGAGGGGAAGGCAGGATATGTGACGCCCATGTAAGACAAAAGACCTTCAGACTAGACTGGAGAGGATGTGGAATATGAGGAGGAGTGATGGGCTATATCTTATTATTATATGTTGTATTAATTGATACATGTATTCTTAGTGTAAGTCAAGATACTACATGTATGTGTTTTGTTTCCATGATTGCAGCGCCCATGTGACGATCAGTCCATGAAGTAGCCTACATTGTGTTAGACTCGGCCAGCTGGGAACGAGGTGGGGAACGATGTGGAGACCGAGGAGGGGATGAAGTGGAGAATAAGCTGAAACAGGCAGAAAACAGGCAAGGAAGAGTTGGACAAGCTTGACAGTTCCTCACGGCTGTCAGAGGCTTATAAGCTTAGTTAACATCTTTTAAGTTAATATTACCATCATCATCATACCACTCTAAACCCCGAGCTGTTTTTCTCCCTCGTCCGCTGAAGCTTATCACTATCATCAATTAACCAGTCACTGTTTGTGTAAATCAACAAAACTGGGAATATCATTGTTTAGTAAATAAAGCTGTATGTCAAGTTTTATATCCTGCATCAGTTTTTTGTAATTCCAAATGTCTGTTCTTACATGTTTAACAATTAAACTGTTAGGATAGAATAACATTTGGTGGGGGCTCAAATAATATAATAATTCTTTAATTATTAATAATAACACCGGGAGAAGGTAGATGACGGAGGAATCATTTGCCCTGTCTAATAATTCATGAAGTAAAATGCTATAGACATCTAAAATTCCTTGCCTTCTCTTGTGGGTACCAAGTTCAGCTAATGTTAATGTACTTAACGAGCCAATATGGCTGTTTTCTTGGGTATCCAGGACTTTGTCTGAGAGCAACATAGCTCAGATTTTAGTTCGGTTAATCTGGTGGAGGAAATGTTTTGAGAGGAACATCCCTACTCAACATTATAAACATTTAAACCACCCGTCACGTCACAGCACAGGATATAAGTGACTCATTGAGTGTGAAAGTGCATGAGGTGGGAGAACTGGCGAGAGACCGAGTTTCCTTCGGGCAGACTGTGATGAGAGCGACGTTCTGCAAAGGACCTGCTAAATGATGATGATGTGTGTGTGTGTTGTTGTTGCTTTAGGTTGTTAGTCCACTCCTGGATCATAGTCTTCATCGAGAACTTGAGTTTTGCATTCACATCTGTTTTCCAGATCTGGCTTATTTGTATGGAGATTGTGGCTTCCTTGTCTCTCAGGCTTATGCACTCCTACTTTGAATTAAACACACCTAATTAGTCGCATCCTACGACGTGCTTAATATGAAGCCGTGGGTTTATTCTTTGGGGTCCAAAAAGGAGCCACAGAACTCGCATGCGGATCTACTCACCTAAAAACCACAGTCAGAGACAACGAGGGGTGGGTGGGGGGGGGGGGAACAAGAAGAATAAACACCCCTGGTAATCATCAACTCATTACCAAACAAAAGCGTGTACTACTAAATGACGAATCGATTCAAATGTCCATCGAATGTGATTCCTACTGGACGACAGATCGGCTCGAATGCTCAATGTAAGCCTACTACTAAACAAAGAATTGGTACTTCGATTCCCTCTAAGAATATTTGGGGTTTTTTTTTTTTTAATGTAAAAGTTGGGTGTAGAAGTCGCCGTGGCGTAGCGGCTAGACGCTCGCGTACGGATCGGATGGTCGTAGGTTCGCTCCCTAGCGGAGCAGGACTTTTTCAAAAATGACTTGACTCCCAGGTCGACCTAGCCTTGAGTGAGTATCGGGTGCAGTCCCGGGAAGTAAAGGCGGCCGGTATGATGCTGACCACATTACCCATATTGTGCCATTTTGGTCTAAAGATTTTTAGGTCTAGCCCTATATGCCCTATACGCCAGAAAGGCGTGGGAAAAGGTCCTTTACTTACTTTACTTTACTTCAAAGACAGTTATTTTAAGTATTTTAAGTAAAGTACTTTACTTTTAAAGTATTTTAAAGTATTTATTCCCCTAGCCAACGCGTGTAGGCAGTCTACTGACAAAATATCGACCCGACTGCTTCGAAATACCAGCTATGTGATTTTGTATATTTGTGTGGTATTGTATGATTTGTATGTGCTCATGAATGCTCCATAGCCGTAACGTTCACGGTTTGTTTGTATTTGTTGAATTGTGAAGCTTGCTTATATACTTTTTGTTCGGTTTTATATCTTTTCTTGATACTTTAAAGTTTGGGTGTGAAGGTGGATGGGGGGGGGGGGGTGTTGACCGACTGCCCCATAACTCTTTCAGTCCCAACCAACGCGTCATGTGTGATGAACTCTCCCCCCATGAAATTCAGCCATAGTGCTGCTCTACGTTCATATACATTTTACATATGGTCAGAGTACGCTAAAGAAACGTTATCTTCCACCAGTGGCCACTTCTACTTATATTTTCTGTGTGTTGTTATTTACCCTATTAACAAGCCTATTTTTAATGTATGAGGTCATGGGTCACTATGTCTCGATAAAATATGGTCAGGACTCGAACAAAGCTGACAAAGGCTGGTCTAGTGAGTGAATTAATTGAGGTTTGAGGTTTAGGTTTGAACAACGGCTCAATATCATGGCATACGGGTAGTAACCCATAAGTGCTCCGTTCTTCTTCTAACTCAAGTCTGAGTCCGAAGAAGCTTAGCACAGTGCACTGGCTCTGTAGCACCGGCGAGGATCATGAAATACTTTGGGTAAATTTTTTAAACCAAATTTTACCCGGGCAGCGCCGTTAGGCTACTCTTTTTGATTTCCAACTGCCAAGGGATTTTTTTTTTGGGGGGGGGGGGCACATGGGCGTCCGATCTAACTACCTAGAAACCGAGGGGAATCTCTAGAAGTTCAAGTCCACGTGAAAAAATCCCAGCTCTTAACGGTGATTGAACCCGGAACCTCTAGCACTCAAGGCGGACACTATTTTCCGAGACCACGCAGCCCTCAAATCAGTTAAAACTACCTACGTGGTGAGTTGTGATCTATGTTTATTACTATCTTTGAGTGTCAGCTCCGCGGCAAATATTAGCGAACACGTTCTTGAAATCCTCTATGTTGTCTCATACTTTGATCAAAGTTGTGTTTCACTCACCTCAAACCCCCCCCCCCCCCCCCCCCCCCCCACCACATACCCCTCCCTTTAAAACCAAACTCTTCCCATTTTCCTTTCCTAAGCATGATTATATGGCACTTTTGTTGAAATACGAGACGCGACTGATTGTTCCTTGACTTCATAGCATATTGAACGCGACTGAGCGCGCCCTGGCAGCTCGGTTAGGAGCCGATCATCTTGATAGACTGCTCGACGGCCTCAGCGGCACAAGCAGATTTTGACAAAAGAAGAAGAAGAAGATTGTTCCTTAACAGGTATATTGTACAATGCAACAAATTAAAGGTTTGTTGTAATCTTTCTTTTCTTGATCTATGTGTCAAATCTCACATCATATGTTACTGCGTAGCTAAGATATAGCATCTGATTGATGTGTCAAACATTATTTTATTTTAGGGTAGGATGAGATATTTAATTATTTACTTTTTTTTTAAAAAGTTACGTCATTTTGAATTCTAATTTTAGTAATATTATTTCAGTTTTGACATATGCAGTTTAAAAATCAAGAACCACCAAAGACATGAAACGAAAGCTAAATGCACTTGAAAACAAATACCTGCTACATCGATGAGCCTTATTTGGGATGAAGTAAAAAATATGTGAACAATAAGAGCAATAAATGGACAACCTATTGCATCCACAGTTATCACAAACAGAAGATGGAGCTATATTTGGCACACCCTGATACGAGGCCAGCAGGGAACCACAAACAGGCACTGAAATGGGAATCAAATAGATCGAGGACACGAGGGGGGGGGGGGGAAACCCTAACATGAACATTGATGAGAACAGCGAAAAGTGCTGGACTGGATTCCCTTCATGATAAATAAAATATTGCAGGGTATAGACATAAATGTCGGCTCTGTGGCTAAGTCGATGCGAACGCTTCGTAATACCGGGTTCGATCCCAGCTGCGGGCCATGCGCCTTGCATTGGTTTCGACAGTGGTATCAGGGAGCTGACCGTCTAGTAGGCATGGCAAACTACTGAACGTTCTGCAACGTCCTGTAAAGGATACGCAACTAACCATAGACATAAATGTATGCTGTTTGAAATATAGATTTTGAATGTTTGAAAGAACTGTCGACCTCTGTTACAAGTTATTTTGCGGAAGCTCACAACGCGAATGGACGTTTGTAGGGATAATGTTAACGATATCACAGTTCATTGACATTTATTTTTTTTTTTAAATAATAACCTGTTTATAATTCAGTTTTTGAAACTTTTTGCATCTGTCTATATATCTGAAGAAAATGAAATATCCCTTCTATATTTTTAACATTTTATGCCGACATAAAAACTGTACCCACAATAAACGAAATACAGCAGGCGACATTGGGTGCAAGTTTACATCATATTCTAATCCTTGCGGTTCAGTTTTTATTAATATTTAATTATAACAACAAGCTTAAGGAGGAAAATAAATAATATTTCATACTTTTACCAGTTCTGCTTAAATTCAGATGGTTTAATATTGTTGTATTAAGTTACTAGTTAAACAGTTGTTTTAAGTTCATATTCCTACCTCATTCTTACTGTTTGAGTATGACATTGGAAGAGAGGTCCCTTGAATTATTTATAATTTATACGTAGGTACAGTGATACTGACAGCTTTACAGTCCTTCTAGATATGCGACTACCAAAGTATGCAGTACCAGTTAGTGTTATTGGTACACTAACTGGCTGTACAGTTTTGCTAAAGTGAGTTTGATATCCTTTTCAGTCTCTGTTTCCAACATTTGATGTCATTTATAGTTTGTAGTTGTAGTACAGGTGCTGAATAAATGTATACATACATTCACACATACACACACACACATACATTGGTACCTCTGTTTAAATCAGCTTTGGTATAAGTTCAACTTTGTATGTGTCCTGTTTAGGCACACACAAATGTTGCTAGGTATATGATCTTTGTTTGGAATGTGTCCCACCTTCTAAAACAAGATGAGTCAAATTGAATCACAAAAAACTGTGCAATTGCCTTGTTTCCCTCTCCAATTAATCTAGGAAATGTTTGCCAACATGGATAGATGACAAAAACTTTGCCAACAAGTGCCACCCTAGCAAATCCCAAACAAACTATCACAGCATTGTCTAGAATGACCAGTGACCAGTGGGCTTCCACAAAAAAAACAGCACTGGAAAAAGCAGAAGTAAAGTTTTTTGAACAGATTTTTAATAAAAGTCAAACATGGTCAGCCTTAACCAGATCCAAGTAGGGAAAAGAGAGAAAAAAAGACACACAAAAAAGCCAGAATTTCAGATTCATGAAATTCTGTTGGATAGGGACTGTCTTTCCAAACAATAACATCTCCTCCTCCTCCCTTCTCAGCACCATCCAAGTAGGCACTCGACTCTTCTTATCAAGGCAAAATGAGGTTAAATTGTCATTTATTTAATCCAATTGCTTTTGTATTTATATATTTTAATATTCGTTCGCTGAGTCCCAGGGAGTTTAGCATTAGAGGCCCAAGGGGTGGTAATTTTTTTATTTCACAAATGTAACACATTAAAACAACCATACTAATTCAACCACTGCACAACATACAATATTATCCATCAAAGTAGTCAAGATGGATAATTGGGGATTAATGATAGAATACTACTACAACAAAAAATTGCTTAAGTAATTAAATATTAATAAATAAATATAATATATTTACATAAATTAGTGAAATAAAATAATAATTTGTCCACTTACCACCATGGGACTCAAAGAAAAACTTGTAAAAAAAATTCTAAAATAAATCACAAATGAACATGAACCACTTAGTAATGAATAAGTAAAATATAAATGCAATCTGTACATTAGATTTTGTTTAAGAGAATCCTTTGAAGCATCATAACAGAGCACCATTATTTGGTAAAGAAAACTGACTTCTCAAACTAATTAGTATCTTCACACACAAAAAGTTTATATAACACTCAATTTGCCTGTTAATTTTTTAGCTATGTTCCTAAACAAAAAAGGGGAACTAACTGACACTGAAGAAAATAGACTTTTCACTAAAATTTATTCTATTCGTGCCAGCTGACTTTGCTATCGTTGTACCCTTCTCATGAGGTACACATTAGACCTATCCCTTATTAAAGTTTGACTCTATAAATGACTGAAACATGTCTGCTTTGCAAGGTTATCTGTCTAACTTTGGATAAATCTGATAAACACGTGATTTATTTAAATTTGAGGCTTTTAAAGTCGTAAATCATGTTGGCATGCATGTAAAATACTGCTCGGTGGCCATATTGTTTTTAAAGAAACAGTAACTCAGTAAACCCAGCAGTATACTTTTTTTGTGTGCTTTTTTAACCACGTTTCCAAATGATCACGCCTGATATCAAACACAAAGAACTCAAAAGGAAGCTGGAATTGAGCAGTTTGCATAAATTAAAAACCTTCACTTGTCACGCAGAAATTAGAACAAGAATCACCATGACAAAAGTTAACTGTAGCAAGATGCCTTGCAGAAATTAGAACAAGAATCACCATGACAAAAGTTAACTGTAGCAAGATGCAAAGCATACTCACTAGTAAGAAGATGTCAAGTGCAAATGGAGAAGCAGTATTAAAAGGCTAGATATAACCTGTGCTTTTGTATGGACAATAAGCAAACAAGATGAAAAATATTTACTTGCAGCAGAGGTCAGGTTTTTAAAAAAGAATATCATGAAATGACAGAGAAACAAAAGAGAACAAAGGCGAAAGGTAAAGAGGTAAATACCTGGAGGGCTTGCCCATATAAATTAGGTGTGACAAGAGCACTGACCAGATCTGTGATTCTGGTGATCATGTGGGATGGTGCAATATGACAGCTTATGCTTATTAAACATGGCACATGGTGAGAGCCGCTGTGGTGTAGAGGCTAGAAGCTTGCCTGTGAATCAGCAGGGCATGGGTTCGGGTTCCTGGCGGAGCTGGTCATTTTTTTTTAAATGACCTTGGCTCTGAGGCTGACCCAGGGTACAGTCCTGGGAAGTAAAGGTGGCTGGCATGATGCTGACCATATCACCCACCAAGTGCAGATTGGTCTATAAAATATAGGTCTAGCCCTATATCCCCAGTACGCCCAAAGGCATGGACAAGGATCCTTTACTTACTTAGATGATGATGATAATGGTGAGTGATGGAAATATCCTTCAAAATGCAGCAAGTTAAATGAGACTAGTCTGAAGCAAGACAAAATATTTTTATCTTAATTAATTGTTAAATATGTGTGCATTTTTAAAACCTATATTTTGTTACAGTTGACACAAGTGTTCGGAAATTTGTTTTATTGATTTGACAATTTATTTGAATAAATAAGAGCTTCCACTCATCCATGTGTTGTTGCAGGGATTACATGGGTGGTAGACGGTACAGAGGGAAGGAGAAGATCTCTGGGAAGACAGTAGTTATCACTGGGGCCACCTCTGGGATTGGGAAAGAGACTGCCATGGAGCTTGCAAGAAGAGGTTGGCCTAGTTTACATGACACAATCTAAGGAGACAAACTATATGTTTTTAATATGTTCTGTGTGTATTTAGTTTTGGGTTTGTCTGGGATTGGGGCGGGGGATGGGGGGTTGAGCCTGATTCTTTAGAACTGCAGGCCTAGTAATGTCACCACAGACTTTGCAAGTTTCAGCAGACAGTGGAAAAAAATTTCATCACCTTACTGGGGATTTAAACCAGCTCTTCCACATGTGACACTGGCATTAGGACAACCAGCCAGCTGCTGTTCCCGAGCTATTTAGCAACCCTAGTGGAAAGACCTGGTTGTTCGTCCATTTCTGGACTTCGGCTTTTTTCCAGGACCTGAGTTTTGCATGTGCATCTGTTTTACAGATCTTTCTGGTAATCTAGTATTCTTCCAGATTACCAAATTACCAGAAACATCTGTAAAGATCTTTCTATTTGTACGCACTCTGTTGGTTACTTGCCTCTGAGGCAGATGCAGTCTGACTTTGAATAAAGCCCCAAATTAGTCGACTCTTACGACATGATTGTTGGGCAGACGGTGGGTCTATTCTTGTTTTCCCCACAATGGGACCCCGGAACCCAAACGAGGAACCTTTAAAAAATAATCTTCTTCTTCGCACTCCCTGGTTTAAACTCCAGTGAAAAGTTCTGGTTGTTTGTCCACTTCAGGACTTTGGTCTTGTTCCAGAACTTTAGTTTTGCTTACACATCTGCTTCGGGAGTCGCCGAGCGGCTAGACGCGCGCCGTGGATCAGAAGGTTGTGGGTACGCTCCCTGGCGGAGCCGGACTTTTCTTCAAAAAATAACCTTGGCTCCCAGGTCGACCCAGCCTTGAGTGGGTACCCGGTGCAGTCCCGGGAAGTAGAGGCGGCCGGCATGATGCTGACCACATCACCCATCTTGTGCCGATTGGTTTATAAAAATATAGGTCTAGCCCTATATGCTCTATACCCCTACAGGCGTGGACTGTTTCCTTTACTTTTTTCTTACTTTTTTTTACACATCTGCTTCACAGATCAGGCTCATTTGTAAGTAGACTTTGGTTCCTTGCCTCTCAGCCAGATGCACTCTGACATTGAAGGAAACTCTTGATAAGTCAACATTAATGACATGTTTGTGGGGAAGTTCTATTTTCTAAAACAAACAACAGTTCACCACGTACAATCTGTTGTTAGCTAGCCAAAGCTGCCTACAATCTCCGGTTCTATCTGTGGACTTTGTGGGAAGGGAGGGCAGTAGGTCTATTTATCCCTCCCCCTCCCCCAAATGGGACCCAGGCAGGACCCACACGGGGATGAAGATAATTTAATTAATCCTGACAATAGAATTTCATGTATAGCATGACCATTGACCTGAACTGTAAGACCTGCCTTTAGAAAGTCTTTAGATTGGATAATATTTTTTTATCTTTGTATATTTTCTTTATCTTTTTAGGTGGCAGAATTATCATGGGTTGCCGAGACACTGAAAAATGTGAAAAAGTGAGACAGGAAATTATCACTGAAACAGCAAATCGCAGCGTTGAGTGTAGGAAACTGGATTTAGCTTCATATGGCTCCATTCGAGCATTCTGCAAAAGCATTAATGCAAGTGAGGTCAATGTCAGTAATTGTTGTTTTGTAGATAATCCTGGAAAACTCTTTCTGCTTTGGCAAGAGCATTCTTTGCTGATGGGTTTTAGACATTAAAACTTTAGAAACATTGCGGTGCTTCTTCAGCGATCAGTGGTTGCTATGTGTCTTCCCGTACAGGTCATAAACAGGACAGTGTGCTTAAAGTCTTCACCTGTGCCCCATGGATCGTCTTGCAGGGTTGTTGCTGTGGTTTAGATTCTTCTCTATGATAGGTATAGTCTGGGCTTTCCTGAAGACATGGTCCAGAGTTTGCTTTGGTGAGCGCAGCCCACATGCAGAAGAGCTAGCAAGACCCATTTGATGTAGGTTTCTTCTGATTTTTTAATGTCCAAAATCAGTCTGAAAATTTTGGTCTGAGCCTTTCTGCCAAGCTCAGCAGTAAGGACAGCAGCAACCTGGCTGGAAACACAGACTCTATCATGCTTTCTCAGTGGCACAGTGAGTATACTCATAAATATCCGCATGGGTTTTGCTCAGAAACTGGTTGAAGCTTCTGGTCAAATCACAGCCGACACAAAAAATATCAGTTTTATCGGTTTTTCATGATTGATATATGTGTGTGTAAGAAGAAATGAACTAGTCGACTGGCTTGCTGAAGGGACTGTTGTGGAAGCAGACGAGCAATGAACCGGGCTGATGAAAGCTCTTAGAAACGTAGCAAGACAAAATACTAGAAAGATGACTATGAATCTGCAACATTGGCTGAACTGCAAGGATGGCATGATAAAAAGGGTAAGGCCAAACAAGAACATTATGTTGAGGGCCAATGAAGATTACTAGATTACTCAACTAACATAGAACTGATGCTGAATGTCCAGTGCAAGTGAGTGCGCTGCTCTGTGATACTTCTGCTAGCAGCAGAGGGCCCCCAGAGATGTCCACTTATCCACATGGATACTCAGTCCCCTGGCCAAACTTGCCACACGCGGTGGGGGTGCCTGCTACATGGAAGTGCAGTTGGGGTTTCCTTTCGCCGAGTTCTTGAAACCAGAAGGGTATTTCTCCAAACTTTCCAGTACTTTTAAAGGAGACCTAATTGATTGGTGAAATAATTTGATTGGATGAAGTTTGTGTGGTGTTGCTATGGTTGCTGCCAGTATTTGTTGTTGGATGCCACCTTTTATTGATGATTACATTGATTGATTGAATTGATCATGTGAAGTCTCTATACTGGTTCTGTGGGTTGCCAACCTAGCAGAGCATAATTTGAACTGTTTGATTTGTAACTGCTTTCTGATCTCTTCCCAAGGTGAGAGTCACATCGATGTTCTCATCAACAATGCTGGAATAATGATGTGTCCAAAAATGCTGACAGAAGATGGGATTGAAATGCAGCTCGGAGTCAATCATATGGGTACATACTGAACTTTCTGTTACATTATTATCATTATTAACATAATCATTATGATTATATCTTTGCATTACCCCTTTGTATGATATGGTTGAAGCAGATTTATGTTCATCAGCTTATATTCTGAGCTGTCTGTCATATCTGGGTCAGAGGTGTTGTAGTTCTGTCATCCCCTCACTTCTATATCTTCATCCTAACATAATCATCATCATCATATGCCCTGTTGATCAGCTAGGAGATCACGTTTGGCCGTCTCTCACTATCACCAAACTCATGGATCAGGTCAGTGTTCTTCTCCTGCCCTATTCATATTGCCAAGCCATGCATGTATTAATCTCTTTGCCTTTTCCTTGTTCTTTTTTTTTTTGTCTCTCTCACTGATCAATCTTGCCACTTGTAAGCAGATTCTCCAGTTCATTTGTTTTCATAACATCTCCAGAAACACTGACAGTCTGTGTCTGAACCGATTTCTCTACAGTTTTCATCTGTCTTTAGAAGACTGCCTTATTTTGTTGTTTTTAATCATTCCATTATATTCTTTGCATTGTCCACCTCAAGAAAGCATTTTTCAGCTTTTTATAATGCACACATGCAAAAGATCACACAGCAGATGCCAGCAGCTGAAAATAAACACTAAACATAATCTAGCAGCCATTTGGGTTCTCATAATTGTTGTTACTTGTCTCCTGTTCTTTCCTTTTTTTTACACTTTTTTAACTTTATTAACACTTTCAAAATTTTTCAACTGTATCTTTACTATTCTCTTTGTTTTTTCTAGTTGGGGTTCTCATAGTTTTTGAGTATTCTCTTTTGCTGTTTACTTTATATATGTGTCTGTTACATGTTAAACTTTCAGCTACTGATTTTTTTTTTTCTGTTTTCTTCAATGTGTGTGTCTGTTACATGTTAAACTTTCAGCTGCTGTATCTTTTAGATTCCACATGATCTTCTCTGTATGTAAATTAGGTGTGTGCATGTTCGTTTGTATAATACAGTGTTTAAAATTGTTCTCAATTTCATTGTAGGACATTTCTTGTTGACTCACCTTTTTCTGGACAAGCTGAAGGCCTCCGCGCCAAGTCGTATCATTATCGTAACCTCCATGTCTCACAAACAAGGCAAAATCAACTTTGACGATTTGAACAGTGCAAAAGATTACAACAAATTAGATGCCTACTGCCAGAGTAAACTGGCCAACTTGTTACACATGCGAGAACTAGCCCGACGACTAGAAGGTGAGTAAGGATATATTTTGAGGAACGCCATTCCACAAAAACTTTTATGAGATGAACTGGCTAACCAAACCCGCTCTTTTTCTAGGTGAGTTCCGGAGCTGCGTTTAGTTAGACCCAGTACTCCTTCACAAGCATGTCATTAAAGGCCACTAGTTAAGGATGTGCTGAAATTAGATGTGTTGGATAAAAGGTGCAGGCATCACAGCCTAGCTGTAGACCACCTAGCCAACTGCCATTTTATAGGCGGGCATAGAAGAAGAAGAAACATGCTATTTTAGATTTTTCAGCTAATGAGGGATTTTAAACATGCACGTTGTACATATGAATCTAGATTTAAGTCATCCCCTTGTTGGATGCAATTTTTCATTATATTGAAGCTCCACCCTGGCTCTTGTCAGGGGCCGCAATATAGCCCGGCCATAAATATGGTCTAATGGCTGAACACGGTTTCTGGGACCTCTCCACTGGTGATCCTCATCCACATAGTGACACATTGTGTGATCGAGTGTTTATCACTTGTGTGATGTCGTTTTGGGGTAAAAGTTACTACTACTACACATGAGTCCTCTTAGTCTATCACACTTGTCTGAGAAAGCTGAATATATAATCCATTACCCATGAATCACATGTAAGTCTGCTTTTTTTTTTTTTATTTATTTAGTAAAAATCCAAACAGTCAACATTATAAATTGAACCATGTCTCCTTGAGCCTGGGACAAGTTACACAACCACTAACCTATCGCTGGAGCCTGGGACAGGTTACACAACCTCCAGCCTATCGCTGGAGCCTGGGACAGGTTACACAACCTCCAACCTATTGCTGGAGCCTGGGACAGGTTATACAAACTCCAACCTATCGCTGGAGCCTTGGACAGGTTACACAACCTCTAACCTGTCGCTGGAGCCTGGAACAGGTTACACAACCTCTAACCTGTTTCTGGAGCCTGGGACAAGTTACACAACCTCCAACCTGTCGCTGGAGCCTGGGACAGGTTACACAACTTCCAACCTATCGCTGGAGCCTGGGATAGGTTACACAACTTCCAACCTATCGCTGGAGCCTGGGATAGGTTACACAACTTCCAACCTATCGCTGGAGCCTGGGACAGGTTACACAACTTCCAACCTATCGCTGGAGCCTCGGACAGGTTACACAACCTCTATCCTGTCGCTGGAACCTGGGACAGGCTACACAACCTCCAACCTTTCGCTGGAGCCAGAGGCAAGTGCTGTAATATCTGATCTACTGCTGGAGCCAGGACAGGTGATATAATGTCTGATCTACTGCTGGAGCCAGAGGCACGTGCTATAATGTCTGATCTACTGCTGGAGCCAGGACAGGTTATATAATGTCTGATCTGCTGCTGGAGCTAGGGACTGGTGCTGTAATGTCTGATCTACTGCTGGAGCTAGGGACAGGTGCTGTAATGTCTGATCTACTGCTGGAGCCAGAGGCACATGCTATAATGTCTGATCTACTGCTGTAGCCAGGACAGGTGATATAATGTCTGATCTACTGCTGGAGCTAGGGACTGGTGCTGTAATGTCTGATCTACTGCTGTAGCCAGGACAGGTGATATCATGTCTGATCTACTGCTGGAGCCAGAGACACGTGCTATAATGTCTGATCTACTGCTGGAGCCAGGACAGGTTATATAATGTCTGATCTGCTGCTGGAGCTAGGGACTGGTGCTGTAATGTCTGATCTACTGCTGGAGCTAGGGACGGGTGCTGTAATGTCTGATCTACTGCTGGAGCCAGGGACAGGTTCTGTAATGTCTGATCTACTGCTGGAGCTAGGGACAGGTGCTGTAATGTCTGATCTACTGATGGAGCTAGGGACAGGTGCTGTAATGTCTAATCTACTACTGGAGATAGGGGCAAGTGCTGTAATGTCTGATCTACTGCTGGAGCCAGGACAGGTGATATAATGTCTGATCTACTGCTGGAGCCAGAGGCACGTGCTATAATGTCTGATCTACTGCTGGAGCCAGGACAGGTTATATAATGTCTGATCTGCTGCTAGAGCTAGGGACTGGTGCTGTAATGTCTGATCTACTGCTGGAGCTAGGGACAGGTGCTGTAATGTCTGATCTACTGCTGGAGCCAGAGGCACATGCTATAATGTCTGATCTACTGCTGTAACCAGGACAGGTGATATAATGTCTGATCTACTGCTGGAGCTAGGGACTGGTGCTGTAATGTCTGATCTACTGCTGTAGCCAGGACAGGTGATATAATGTCTGATCTACTGCTGGAGCCAGAGGCACGTGCTATAATGTCTGATCTACTGCTGGAGCCAGGACAGGTTATATAATGTCTGATCTGCTGCTGGAGCTAGGGACTGGTGCTGTAATGTCTGATCTACTGCTGGAGCTAGGGACAGGTGCTGTGATGTCTGATCTACTGCTGGAGCCAGGGACAGGTTCTGTAATGTCTGATCTACTGCTGGAGCTAGGGACAGGTGCTGTAATGTCTGATCTACTGATGGAGCTAGGGACAGGTGCTGTAATGTCTTATCTACTGCTAAAGCTAGGGAGGGACAGGTGCTATAATGTCTGATCTACTGCTGGAGCTTGGGACAGGGGCTGTAATGTCTGATATACTGTTGGAGCTAGGGACAGGTTCTGTAATGTCTGATTTGCTGCTGGAGCCAGGGACAGGTTCTGTAATGTCTGATTTGCTGCTGGAGCCAGGGACAGGTTCTGTAATGTCTGATTTGCTGCTGGAGCCAGGGACAGGTTCTGTAATGTCTGATTAACTACTGGGGACATGTGCTATAATGTCTAATCTACTGCTGTAACCAGGACAGGTGATATAATGTCTAATCTACTGCTGGAGGATCCATACATTGATCTTTTACAATCTCAGAATTCAAAAACAATCAAGAATAATACAGAGATTTGTAGTCAGTATGCTAGAGAGGCAGTCTTCCTTCAGTGCTTCACTGTTTCTTACAGAGCCTGCGCACGTAATTATGGATCTAGCATATATTCATGTACAGTAAAGTTAAAGATCTTTCCTTTGCTACACATATTAACACTAACATTACTCCTCTAACAACAGGCACAGGTGTCACTGTAAACGCCCTGCACCCAGGAGTGGTGGATACAAACCTGCACCAGCACCTCCCCATAGCTAAGTCTACCCTGTCCAGCATCATCTTGTTTCCCATCAAGTTTATCTTGATGAAAACTCCACTTCAAGGCGCCCAGACAATTATCCGTTTGGCTGTTGACCCAGAACTAGAACGTATTACAGGGAAATACTTCAGGTAATGACAGTAGTTTTACAAAAATGTCTGCACAACCACCCATCATCATCGTGTAGCAGGTCCTTTGTAGAGCGTCGCTCTCATCACGGTCTGCCTGAAAGAAACTTGGTCTTTCGCCAGCTCTTCCGCCTCATGTACTTTCATCATACTCAAGGAGTCAGTTATATCCTGTGCCCATCTTTGTGTTGATCGGCCCCTGCCCCTTCTTCCTGGTACCATGCCTTCTGCTATAATCTTCTCCAATCCATCGTGGCGCTTGATCTGACCAAAATATTTCAGCTTCCGAGACAGGATGCTGTTTATAAGCCAATCTTTCTTGATGTTCAGATCTTTCAAGATGTCAGTATTTCTCCTCTTCTTTGTCCAAGATATTCTGAGAATCTTTCTATAGCATTTTAGCTGAAAAGCCCCTATTCTCTTTCTTAAGGACTTGTAGATAGTCCACTAGCACAACCACTAGTATCAACAACAAAAAGACTGAGAAGATGGCCCTTCATTGGACACATTCTGAGAAGAAACAAACAGAGAAGCACCAAACAGGCACTGGAATGGGAAATAGAGGGGTTGAGGAAACAAGGATGTCCAAGAAAATCCTGAAGTCGAACGTTAGTCAGGGAAGTCAAAAGTGCATTACTGGATTGTATCCATGATATTGAAGTGATTGCATATGATAGAGCGCAATGTAGAAATTAACTGCAAGTCCTATTTGACATAATATGGCACAAAAAGATCATGAACGAATGCGAATATTTTTGCTGAATGTACTCAAGGTGTTTATCATTATCCTGTTTTGTGCCAGATAGGGCTCTCAATCTGCTCCTCCATTTTATTCTTTCCTATGCAATTCTTTCAATATCGTGGATGGAATCCAGTCCAGCAGTTATGCCTCTCTCGTCAGCGTTTGTCTTGGGGTCTTTCTTGGACCTCTTCATTTCCCTAATCCATTTGTTTCTCATTTCAGTGCTTGTTTAGTTATTTATTTTTTTTGGTCTGCCTATCTTCATGATTTGCCTAATTTATTGTAGTCTTCTTTTGCTGATAACTTTTGATACAAGCAGTTGTCCAGGCAACAAAGGTATGGCTGCAAGAAGTAATAACCATCATCATGTTCAGGTTAGCCAGTCCTTATACTGGTGTTGCATTTAGCTGTAGACCCAGGGCTAGAACAAATTACAGGTAAACATTTCACGTAAAGACAGTATTTCTGGACCCGGAGCTAGAACAAATTACAAGTAAATATTTCACGTAAAGACAGTATTTCTAGACCCAGGGCTAGAACAAATTACAGGTAAATATTTCACGTAAAGACAGTATTTCCGCGAGCTGAATGTACCCATTGGTACAGATTTAAGTGCATGTATAGTCTTCTGTCTGTCTGTCTTTCAAACTGTCTTTGCTGTCTGTGTTTTCTGCCTTTTAAAGTGGTAGAGTACAGGTGGCTCTTGAGACACCGGATTGAGGGCTGTATGGGAAGTGCAGTTGCCACTTACTGTGCAGGGTAGGATTTGTATATTTTCTGCATCTGTGAGTTTTATAAGGTTTCATTATCACTGTCAGTGTAGCTGCACATTGAGCACTGCCATGCGTGCACAGTCCTCTGACTCAACAGCCACCCCAGTGTGGCCAGCATGGTATTGACCACATCCACCACAGAGTGCCGATTGGTCTATACAATACAGGTCTAACCTTATGTGTCACAATACAGCTGAAGGTGTGGGAAGGGGTCCTTTACTTACTTTACTTATGTGTCACAATACAGCTGAAGGTGTGGGAAGGGGTCCTTTACTTACTTTACTTATGTGTCACAATACAGCTGAAGGTGTGGGAAAGGGTCCTTTACTTACTTTACTTATGTGTCACAATACAACTGAAGGTGTGGGAAGGGGTCCTTTACTTACTTTACTTATGTGTCACAATACAACTGAAGGTGTGGGAAGGTGTCCTTTACTTACTTTACTTATGTGTCACAATACAGCTGAAGGTGTGGGAAGGGGTCCTTTACTTACTTTACTTATGTGTCACAATAACTGAAGGTGTGGGAAAGGGTCCTTTACTTACTTTACTTATGTGTCACAATACCACTGAAGGTGTGGGAAAGGGTCCTTTACTTACTTTACTTATGTGTCACAATACCACTGAAGGTGTGGGAAAGGGTCCTTTACTTACGTTACTTATGTGTCACAATACAACTGAAGGTATGGGAAGGGGTCCTTTACTTACTTTACTAATGTGTCACAATACCACTGAAGGTGTGGGAAGGGGTCCTTTACTTACTTTACTAATGTGTCACAATACAACTGAAGGTGTGGGAAGGGGTCCTTTACTTACTTTACTAATGTGTCACAATACAACTGAAGGTATGGGAAGGGGTCCTTTACTTACTTTACTTATGTGTCACAATACAACTGAAGGTGTGGGAAAGGGTCCTTTACTTTACTCTGTACCTCTACTGAAGTTTTTTATAATGTTTTCTATCTTGACCTAATATATGGCATAGACTTGCTTCATGAGGCTTCAGTCCATGGTCATATAATCATGTTAGCATCAGTGATTCATGATTATCTGCCACCTAGTCCATACAGCATTGATGATATCAACTCTGTCTGTGCATCTTCCCCTATGCAGTGGTGCAGTGCCTGCTAGTTATTCTGTTTGTTCATTACTTTTAACTCCAGCATGTTTTGATCAAGGTGAAGAGTTTAATAGTTCAATTGCAGATTCTAAATGTTGTCTACACATTCAAAGTAGAGGCTGCATATCACAGATTTCCAAAGCGTGTTCATGGAGTCTGATATGATCACCGCATGTCTGGCTCCTCCTTATTTTCTGCCCATGCGAATGCTTTGGAGGTCTGTGAGTAGATATCGTCAACGCTGTACGGACTGGGCTAGTGGATAATGAGGAATCTCTGACACTAACGCGATTGCGTGGCATGGGAGTAAAGCATGCTGAAGCATGCCTATGCCGTCTTCGAGGCAGAGATAGGAGATAATATAACCAGCTTCTCATGGGAAGAATTAGTAGAAGTACTTTGGAGTGGCTGCTGCATCAGAGGACTGAACACGCATAGGAATGTCAGTATGCAGTGAAGTCGATTGTGATAACATAACATTCCAGATTATTTTTTCTCCTGTACTCAGATCATTGTACTAGAAAATTTGTGGAGGTCAAAAGAAATTAAAATTAATACTTCTTCTTCTTCTTCATCGTTCCAAGCCCTTGAGGTTCATTGCTGCAGATATCACCCACCTACACTCCTCTCTCTGGTTGGTCTTTTTTTTTCAGTTGGTGACAAAGTAATACTAAACAAAATTGTTTATTCTAATGTCAAATCAATACCGTTGTATGGGGTGGAAACATGGAGAAAAACTAAGGCAGTTACTAATAAACTACAGACATTCCTGAACTGCTGCTTGGGCAGAATAGAGGAAATTGAATGGTATGAAAGAATCACTAATGTAAAGCTTTGGGAGAGAACTAAACAAGTTTCAGTGGATCAAGAGGTGAAGAAAAGATGCTGGTGTTGAATAGGACACCCTTTTAGAAATCCTTAGAACAATATAATTAAAATGTCTTTGCGCTAGAACCAAACAGCGGCATAGAAAAAAAGGAAGACCGAAAAAACACACATGGAGAAGCGAGCTAGAGAGTAAAGTTAAAAAGATGGGGAGGACATTAGGACAGGTGCGTGCTATAGAGAAGAATAAAAAAGCGACTTGGTCTGAGTTGGTTGAAGGCCTATGCTCCAATAGGGGCTAGAAGGCAGAAGAAGAAGTCGGCTCATAGACTAGTGTTGAAAGTGAGTGGTCATGTCACTTACCGGTTACACTTTAATTTTTTTACCCAATGTTTGCAGTGACTGTGAAGAGAAAAACACCAGCGCCCCAAGCTTTGGACGATACTGCAGCGAAACGTCTGTGGGCCATAAGTGAAGCTTGGACACGAGCAAATGTAGAATAGCATGATTGTATACTGTATGTTTGTGCAGACTGGAGAATTTCTGTTGTTTTTACAGGAGGATGATGATGTGTGTGCTGTTGTCAGGCTTATTAAAACTCAGTTTTTGGTTTGTTTTTCATGGTTGTTAATGCCTGTTATTTTCCTCGTTTTTCCTGTGTTTTTCTGTTTATTTGTTCAGTTATCTAATAGGTTTTTTTTTTAAAGTACTTTTTTTGCGTCTTTAGGCTTATAGGGCTAGACCTATATTTGTATACACCAATTGGCACAAGATGGGTGACGTAGTCAGCATCATGCCGGCCGCCTTTACTTCCCGGGACTGCACCCGGTACCCACTCAAGGCTGGGTCGACCTGAGAGTCAAGGTGATTTTTTTTAAAGTCCGGCTCTGCCAAGGAGCGAACCCACAAACTTCCGATCTGCATGCGAGCATCTAGCCTCTACGCCACGGCTACTCCCTTGTAGTAGGGTTACCCTGTATTATTTTCTGTGCTCTTATATCAGTTTAAGAAGTAGTTTTTGAAACACCACTGAAAGCTGATAGTTAAAGAAAGGCTTATGAAACACTTGAAACAAAATCAGGCAGTAAAAAAATTGTTTTTGAAACCCTTTGATTTAAATCTGGTAAAGAAATGGTTCTCAAAACAATATAATGAAACAAACTTTAGGTGAAACACTTTGACTCATTTGCTTCATTAAATAAATTTTTTCATAGTAACAATAATTAGTGAAAGCTTTTACAAAATCATTCACAAGACTTGAATGGCATACATTCCTTAAATGTAGGAACTATTTATTACAAGCATGATGAAGTTGTAAATCACTGTTAATATAGTTCTCCATAATGGTTAACTTTAATAGACGAAAATGTTATATAATTTATGAAACCAGTGTTCTTTTTGCAATTTTGCATTTGTGTCTCATTATGGAGTCTCCATGGCTTAGTCAGTGTTAAACCATTTGTGTCTCATTATGGAGTCTCCATGGCTTAGTCAGTGTTAAACCATGTGTCTCATTATGGAGTCTCCATGGCTTAGTCAGTGTTAAACCATTTGTGTCTCATTATGGAGTCTCCATGGCTTAGTCAGTATTAACCATTTGTGTCTCATTATGGAGTCTCCATGGCTTAGTCAGTGTTGAACCATTTGTGTCTCATTATGGAGTCTCCATGGCTTAGTCAGTGTTAAACCATTTGTGTCTCATTATGGAGTCTCCATGGCTTAGTCAGTGTTAAACCATTTGCCTCATTCTGTTAACAAGTGCAGGTGTATCAGAGATCACTGAAGGTTTTTGTTGGTGCTATGGAGTGTGTGCTTCATGTGATACTGTTGTAGTCAACAAGCCACTCTATAAAGAGAGACTGCACCATTTTGGATACAATCTGGTGTGATGAAATCAGTCTTCTCACCATTAAAACATCTATTTGTATATTCTTCAACATCCATGTAAATGTGTTTACATAAATCTTTCCCCATTTGGGTTCCGGGCTCCATTTTGGGGAGAGGAGGGCATAGAATGAAAACCACTGTTCTCATAATAAGCATGCCATACAAGCTGACTAATGGGTTTTTCTTTTAAAGTCTGACTGAATGCTTTTGCCTGAGAGGCTAGGAACCAACAGTCTGCATACAAATAAGCCAGATCTGTAAAACAGGTATGCACACAAAGCTTAAGTTCTGAATCAAGACTAACATGCATAAGAGGATGAATAACCTGACCATTCCACCAGAGTTTGTTTACAACTAATGAACACTAAGAAGAAATAAATCTTTCTAATTTGTACCCTTCCTTCTGAGAAGTACCAATGTGCTGTTGACTACATCACCCACTGAGTGCCCATTGGCCTATATATTATAGGTCTAGCCCTATATGCCCAATACACCTGAAGGCGTGGAAAGGGTCCTTCACTTTTATTTACTTCTGAGAAGTAATATTTCTTCTGTCATCTGCTTCTTTTAACTGGTGAAATAATTTTCAAGATATTTATGTTAATGATTCATTTCATATTTATGTCCATATGATATATGGCATATGTGGACTGAAGGTATGTAGTTCCATTGTTCAGCTACTGAGTTGAGTGGGTGGCATGACACTGTGAACAGTGGATTTCTTTTGGAACGTTATCCACTACTCGATAGTGACGACCATAGTTTATGCTGTGAACTACAGATTCATAAAAACGACCAGTGGCGTATTGCTAAACAACTGGGGGTGCCTTAAGTGATATGTTTGCAACTGCTGATTTACTGCGACTGCTGAATTCATCGATGATGAACTACAGTTCTAGAGTTGGACTGTTTGAGTTAGCACTTCTGATGGCCGCCTTGTGAATTTAATGTGTGTGTATGCTATTGGCTTTGCTGAGGCTGTAGTCCCCTTCAATTTTTTCCATAAGTGACAGTGATGGGCATTCTGTATGGTTTTCATTAGCACAGGAATGGAACGGCTACGGAATGACCTGTTTGATGTAAAACTCGAACTGTGCTTAACTGATTAAGGAGCATAGAAGTGACTGAGTAAAGAAACTAACATATTTTTGTCTAGAACAAAATCCTTTAGTTAAAAAAAGCCTGGTTTAAACAGTGTACAAGAACACTATAGTGTTTAATTTTTTTGTTAATGGAAACAGTAAGAACCAAACATGATTCATGAAATTATGTGCATAAAGCAAATATATACAACAGAGACAACAATCATAAACAAATTTCTGGGAGAAAAAAGAAAATTAAGCAAACAGAGGCAGAGCATGGGAGTGTTTAATACTAGAACAAAGTGAAAAAACAACGTGAGCACATCAGAACAGACCAATTTTTAAAAATAGGGGTGGGGGGAATAAACCATTATTCACCATAATGCCATGTTTCACTGTGTCTCTAGTTGCTGTTGACTGTCTGATAAGTCTCTTCCCCTCTCCCCCCCCCCCCCTTCCCCCCCCCCCCCCCCCCTTTCCTTTCCTCCTTTGGTGAGATACAGTAGACTTGATCTTTACATGTTTGATGCCAAACACGGCCAGATTCTCTTTCCACATTTTGTTCTTGACTCTGCCTCTTTTATTACATGTAATAAATTATAATTATAGAAATGACAAAACTGTAGCATAAAATAACAATATATTAGGAAGATTAAGCTTGAACAGTCAAGAACATTAAAAAAATATGATGAAAACCCTTTTTGAATTAATATGAAAAGAAAAGAGAATGCAAAAAACATGAAGTACATAACAGTTTCAAACAGGGTAGAAGCAGGATTGAGAAAATGTGCACATAAAAGATCACAGAGTGTAATGTGGATCTTCATGTTTGTTTTATGGACTCTATGAAAGCTTTTTTTTTTTTTTTTTTTTTTTGTCAGCATTGAGGAACACTGCACCACACACAACAGGCATCTGTCAGATTAGCTAGTGAAATTTCAGACTGGTTTTTTTTATTTTTTTATTTTTTATTTTGGGGGGAGAGGGGTTATATAGAACTGTAATCTCTCCTCATAAATGTTCATCTGCTCAGAAGCTTTTGAGAGATGTAAAAAATTAGAATTTTGACAAAGAGACATCCCCAACCAAAAGGTTTAGGGTTCACATCTACATCAAACCGGATTTTTTTTAAAATATATAAATTGATCTCGGCTGCTAGGTCGACACAACCTAAAATGGGTACCGGGTAATATCCTGGGAAGGAAAGGTGGCTGGTTTAATATTGACCACATCACCTATCGAGTGCTGATTAGTCTATAAAAATTAATAGCCTTGCACAATGCACCAAAAGTTCTGATACTTTTGCTTTTTATAATTTCCATAACTGACTGAAATCTTATTCAATTATTTAGAAACGCAAATAATACAGTTCTCTTCTCAAGCAGTGGATTAGAATAGTTAATTAAATATGTCTGTTTTAGAAAGAACAGTGAAGATCAAAATATGTTTTATAATTTAAAAAAAAAAAAAAAAAGATAACGCCTACAGACAAAACTATATGTTATGAAAAAATATCTCAGAGGTAAAGAAATTGAGAAAGTCACAAATTTCAAATACCTTAGCTTCAGAATGAATAGCAACATGTCACTGTTAAAAGAAAGTGTTACCATGCTAGAGATACACAACTGAAGAGACAGAGTCACATGGAAGACCATCAAAAGCTATAATTATCGGACACATAGAAGACTGATATCTGTGTTATGTTAGTTGTGTATCTTTTACAGGACGTTGCAGAACCAACCCAACAGCCCCTGGCTGTTGTGTGGTTTTTCTAGGCAAATTTACGTCCAGTAGTTTGCTATTGCTTTCTGGGCGATATCTGTGTATGAACATGATATTCAAATGAGAAATATGGCAATCAGTGATAGGACTGTGTAAACTGCTTAAATCATCCAATCATCTATCTGATTAGGTAAAGCCTTGTAGACTAAAAGCTAAACAAACAAATTCAAAAGATAAAAAATAAATGTTTAAAAGATATATAATTTATTGTTCAAAAGTTAAACAATTTAATGTTCAAAGAAAAAGTTAATAATAGTTTCTTCAGCATACTCAAACCACAGAAAGCACAGTTAAAGATAAATATTAAGTATGGAAAAGATTAAGTCATTTAGTGTTGAAATAATAAACAGGTGTGATTGAAATGATAAAATTGCAGTCTTAAGATAACTACATTTTCCTATATAGAGAATAAAAACTGGCTGTTTAAGGATACGCGATCAAGCATTTACAAGATAAATAAATATTCAAAGAGAAGCAATTGAGTCCTAAAAAAAAATAGTATTCAAACATTAAGCAGTTTAGTTTACACTAGATAAACAATTAATGCCATATTATCAATATCACAACCACGTTTCCGTGTGATGAGATTTAATTTCTGGCTGGAATAATTTTCTCCAAGGCCCTGGCTACCTGCAGAACAGTGAGCTCGTCAAACTTGCGCCCTACAATCATGATGCTGTCCGTCCTGCCGTCTCCTACCTTGCCAAGAGGTAAGGATAACGCT